GTGTTTCACGTACCGGTACGCCAGAAAAGGTACGTCCGTTTTATCCTGGGAGGAATAGTTCCAATAACCTTGGGTACCGTAGAGGGGAACTAAATTCCTTAAGGAGAAATAGTGAATTCTATTGGCTCGGGCGTTGTTTATGCATGTGTCGATTTCTATATATGTCTTGTGTGGCAAGAAACATACTTTTGTGAAACGTTTTTTTTTTGCCATAACAATCTTAAGGAATTTATTTTTGTTTTCATTCACGTGTTCTGTTTCTTCCCAAAGTTGACGTATTTGAATCTGAACTTGGTGTCCATGCATGAAAAATTGATCTCGTTTGTGATTAAGAAGAAATTCTGGTCAGTTACTCTATTGAAAGTTTAATTACATTGGTTAATATATATAAACGGCTTCTGGTGTTATAGTTATATCTATATAATTGTTACTTTAGGGTTATATACGTGTTTCTCTGAGGTGTATATATATATTTTCAGTATAACTTGCTATGTGTCGTGTATTGGTCTTATATTTAAAAGTTTATTAGATTTGTAAGAACCGTACATGATTGTGTGAAAAAAAACTGGGTTGGTTATTGTTAATCTCTGTGATTCGATGTATATGTCTGTCTTTTAGTCCCTGTTCTTTGTAGGGTTGTGTTGCAGTCGTATTTAATTGCTACTGTTTCAATACTGATTATATATAATTTTGTTGTGATATATATTGTGGTCATATATAATTATTCTTTCTTTGGAAAGTGTGTGATTTCCTACTGCGGACGAGTTTAAACCTCTTCGGTTTTCTACTCGTGGGTATTAGTGATTACTAATACGTGTTGTGGTTTCTATTTCTAGAGAAAGAAAATAGTGAAGAACAAAGATGTCTTCTGGTTTTGGAATAAATGGGGAGAACCCAAATCCGGTAACATCAACTCAAAGTACTCCACTTCAAGTTGCTACTCACTCGCTTGCACCGGCGGAGAAACCCGGCAAGTTTTCCGGTGTAGATTTCAAGCGTTGGCAACAAAAGATGTATTTCTATCTCACTACTTTGGGACTTCAAAAGTTCATCAAAGAAGAGATCCCAAATCCTAACGAGGAAGTGCCAGAGAAAGATAGATTTTTGCAATTGAAGCTTGGAAACATTCTGACTTCCTTTGCAAGAATTATATTCTAAATGGTCTAGATGACATTTTGTACAATGTCTATAGCACCATAGGGACCTCTAAGGAATTATGGGAGGCGCTAGAGAAGAAATACAAGGCCGAAGATGCGTGATTGAAGAAATCCATTGCGGCTAAGTTTTTGGAGTATAAGATGGTTGATTCCAAGGCCGTTGTGACTCAAGTCCAAGAGCTTCAGGTAATTACTCATGATCTTCTTAATGAAGGAATGATTATTAACGAAGCTTTTCAAGTTGCTTCCTTCATAGAGAAGTTGCCTCTCGCATGGAAGGACTTCAAGAGTTACCTAAAGCACAAGCGTAAGGAGATGACGCTTTGTCCGTCTAAAGATTGAAGAGGACAATAGGTTGGCCGAGAAGAAGAGCCGTGGACAATCAACCATCTCTGGTGCAAACATTTTGGAGAGTGACTCCAAGGGAAAGAAGAGGAAGAGAGACTCTGTTCCAAGTTCTTCCGGCACAAAGAACCACAATGGTAACAAGAAGATTAATGGTACTTGTTTCAAGTGTGGGAAACAAGGGCATAAAGCCTCGATGTGCAAGACCCACAAGAAGAAGAAGAAGAAGAACAAAGGTCAAGCTAATATTGTTGATGATATGGATATGGATGACCTTTGTGCCGTTCTTTCTGAATGTAACTTGGTAGGGAATCCAAGAGAATGGTGGATAGACTCTGGCGCTACCCGCCATGTTTGTGCAGTCAAAGAGATGTTCACTTCCTACTCTTTGGCTAAGGCGGAGGAGAAATTATTCATGGGAAACTCCTCCACGGCCAAGGTCGAGGGATATGGAAAGATTGTCTTGAAGATGACATCGGGCAAGGTTGTGACCCTCAACAACGTCCTCCATGTACCGGAAATTCGCAAGAATTTGGTGTCTACCTCGCTTCTTGTCAAGCACGGATTCAAGGTTGTGTTTGTTTCCGATAAGGTTGTAATTAGCAAGAATGATGTGTATATAGGAAAAGGTTATCTTAATAATGACCTTTTCAAGCTCAATGTAATTACCGTGAACGATGTTATTAATAATAATAACGCTTCTTTCGCGTATTTACTTGAGTCAAATCATATGTGGCATGCCCGTTTGGGACATGTGAATTACAAATCCTTACGGAAAATGATAAACATGGAAGTGTTGCCCAAGTTCGAATGCAATAAATCTAAATGTCAAGTATGTGTGGAATCAAAGTTTGCGAAACATCCCTACAAGTCGATTGAAAGAACTTCTGAACCATTGGACTTGATTCACACTGACATTTGTGACATGAAGTCGACACCATCTCGAGGTGGGAAAAAGTACTTCATAACATTTATCGACGATAGCACTAGATATTGCTATGTATATTTGCTAAGTAGCAAAGATGAAGCGATTGATGCATTCAAGCAATTCAAAGCAGAAGTTGAGAACCAACTCAACAAGAAAATAAAAATGGTCAGAAGTGATGAAGTCTTCTGAAGCTCAATATTGGTTGGAGGCTGTCAATAGTGAAATTGAGTCCATTTTGAATAACCACACATGGGATTTGGTGGATCTTCCTCCCGGTTGCATACCATTGGGATATAAATGGATCTTCAAAAGGAAGTTGAAAGATGATGGTACTATTGACAAGTACAAGGCAAGACTTGTGGTCCAAGGATTTAGACAAAAAGAAGGCCTTGACTATTTTGATACATACGCCCCAGTCACAAGAATTACATCTATTCGGATGCTAATTGCTTTGGCTGTCGTGTATGGTCTACAAATCCATCAAATGGATGTAAAAACGGCCTTTCTAAATGGCGACCTGGAGGAAGAAATCTACATGAAACAGCCTGAGGGGTTCGTTGTCCCTGGACAAGAACATAAGGTGTGTAGATTGGTGAAGTCCCTATATGGACTTAAACAAGCACCCAAACAATGGCATGCTAAATTTGACGCAGTTATGTTGTCAAATGGTTTTCGGATTAACGAATGTGATAAGTGTGTATATATCAAGAACACACCTAATCACGAAGTCATTGTTTGTCTATACGTAGATGATATGTTGATAATGAGTAAGAACGTTATTGACATAGAAGAGACAAAGCGAATGCTATAAAGATCTTTCGACATGAAAGACTTGGGTGAGGCGGATGTTATTCTTGGAATAAAGATATCTAGAACACCTCAAGGTCTAGCATTATCGCAGTCTCACTACATAGAGAAAATTCTTGATAAATTCAAGTATTTGCATATCAAAGAAGTGCACACGCCGATTGATCCAAACCTTGGTCTTACAAAGAACGGAGGTAAAAGTGAATCTCAAGAGGATTACGCACGAGTTTTGGATGTCTAATGTACATCATGAATAGTACTCGACCAGATATTGCTTGCACAATAAGTAAATTGAGTCGATATCAACGTAATCCAAATAGCACGCATTGGATGGCAATGCGGCGTGTTTTGGGGTATTTACAACATACCAAAGATTTCGCTTTGCACTACAAAAAATATCTGGCAGTACTTGAAGGATATTGTGATGCAAATTGGATCACCGGCTCAACCGAAATCAAATCCACTAGCGGATATGTATTTACGGTTGGTGGGGGAGCAGTATCTGGGAGATCCTCCAAGCAGACTTGTATTGCCCGATCCACAATGGAATCAAAGTTCATAGCTTTGGACTTAGCCGGTGAAGAAGCGGAATGGCTTCGGAGCTTCTTGGAAGATGTTCCGTTTTGGCCCAAGCCGTTAACCCCAATAAGCATACATTGTGATAGTCAAGCGGCTATTGGAAGGGCAAAAAGTGTTATGTATAATGGAAAGTCTCGTCACATACGTCGACGACATAACACAGTGAGGCAATTAATCTCTATTGGAGTTATTTCGATTGATTATGTAAGATCAAAAGATAACGTGTCGGATCCGTTAACTAAAGGCCTAACTAGAGCATTAGTTGAGAAGTCATCGAGGGGAATGAGACTGTGGCTTAGGACAAATCATCATGGCGGTAACTCTACCTAAGTAGGATTGGCAGACCCAACCTCTAGGTTCAAGGAGCAAACAAAGTTGTGAATGATGGTCCGACATTGTCAAATTATTTAAAGTCCATTCTCATGATGAGACAATGTCCAAAATATAAGGGTAAACCTAAATATGAAAGGTTTTTAATGGTTTCTAAGTTTGACACGTGTTGTGATCAAATAGTGTATTTTCGGAATACATGTTTAGAAATCACCTATGTGAGTGTGAAATGGAGCCGCTTCAAGGAGAATAAAAGAAGGCAATTCTCTACGCACTCATGAAACCAGGCGGTGTTCATGGCTGAAACGAACACAACAATGAGAACCAACGAGCGGATAAGAGTTGGTTGTGTGACATATGTTGTCTTAGTATACAAGAAAACAGACGGTTCAAAGATATCATATCTACCGATTGGTGAGTATACTCGATATATGTTCACTAGGGAAGGTTCAAAGGGAAACCCACCTATCCTAATACAACTAATTCTTAGTTGAGAGTCACACAGTTTTTTGCATAGTTTTCAAAACTTAGCATTCTCTTTCATGTGGGGGATTGTTGGGATTTGAAAGGTGTGAATGAGAATGGAAAGGGGAAGAAGCCAATAGTTGGTGAGTTATTGGTTAAACCAAGTTGAACCAAATCGGACCGAACCGATGTGCCGGTTGGAATGAACCAACCGGTCCAACTACTATGGCAAACCGATGCAATGGTTGGGGTGTAACCACCCACTTGAAGGGTCACATCCCTTCACTGAACCATTGCAATGGTTGGGGTGTAACCACCCACTTGAAGGGTCACAACCCTTCACTCGCACCCCTTCATTGTCTATAAATAAACACCTGCCCCCTCTGTTTTCTACACAAGTTAGTTTTCCCAAGAAATTTTTCTGGCCAAAAGATAAAAGAATTTTCCATTCTTCATTGCATTTCCTCTCTACAAACTCATAAAGAAAACAGAGTCGTGTGACTTCTCTCCGATCGTTGCGTTCGTTGGATTCTGGTGTTTCAAGTACCGGTAAGCCAGAAAAGGTACGTCCGTTCTATCCTGGGAGGAATAGTTCCAATAACCTTGGGTACCGTAGAGGGGAACTAAATTCCTTAAGGAGAAATAGTGAATTCTATTGGCTCGGGCGTTGTTTATGAATGTGTCGATTTCTATATATGTCTTGTGTGGCAAGAAACGTACTTTTGTGAAACGTTTTTTTTCTTCCATAACATTAACATCTCCACATCTCTAAATCTATCCAATGTCTCCCAAAGGATCTGAGGACGAATCTAGATTCATTCTCGGCAAGGTTGTCAACCCGCCGGTTGACCCGGACCCGGTTGAGCTAGTGGTTTAAGGGTTAATGGGTCACCCGTTTTAGCCCGGTTTAGCCTGGAAATATGGAAAGCGTTACTACATTGTACTTATCCTGATAAATTATATCAAATCTCATCTAACATATGAGTTATAACATATAATATTGCACCAAAATAACATTTCGTACTTAGATTCAACATATAGTGAAAATTCACACACACTTATATAACATTAATATTCAAATGTTCAACTTAGGATTCCAAAGATTGAGTTAGGCGAAGAGAAAAATCAGAAAATAGGCGCATTTCGCAAAACAAAGAAAAAAATGGCATAATTTGACCTCCAACCCGGTACCTTATAGCGGTCGACCCTGCGGATGCGTGCGGCCCGTTTTTCTCACCGGGTCAGGGTCAATGTGGGTCAACCCGCGGGTTGACAACCTTGATTCTCGGTGATGATCGACGCGAGGCCCAATTCACTGACATAAGTGGGCCAGTTAGGTTCAGGTCCAATCTCTTAATCATTCTGATTTTGTTATGGGCTTAAGAAGTCAGGCCTTCGTAGAAATAACAATCGTGTTAAGGCAGTCTAAATCAATTGCTTCTCCTTTTTGCCGGTAACCCCGATACCCTTTTCTCTCAGTTTCACCTTCCCCTCGGTCCTCCTGCTGCTTAAACCCTAGACCTCGCCGACGAAGGAAACTAACCGAAGTGACCAATTTCAAAGAAATTTCAGTATGTCGAACAGAGAAGATTCCGATTCGGAATCAGACGCACCGGAGGAGTTCACCGCCGAGCAGGTTTCTTTCTCCTTCGTCCCTTCTTCAGACACTGTGCTTCCTTTTTTCTTTCTTTCCTTCACTGCTGTTCGGAGCAAAATACCATCTCCGCGTCTAAAAATGGCGTCTGAATGGGCCGTTGTTTTTTGAGCAGGGAATTGAATTAGATGCGGAGATAAGGAAGATTCAGAAGGATAATAAGTCAAGGTAGGATTTTCCTTGCTTTTTTTTTTATGCATTTTAACATCCGGAACTTTCTCCCTGTATGAACCTGTTCTGTTACGTTTACTTTGTGGGTTTGCCTAAATGAATGGATGCTGATTGATGGACATTGGAGGATGGGAAATGGGTTGCACCGTTGTAGAGCAAAGTGGCAGGATTCTTTCTGTTCCTAGAATTTTCAGATGTTGCATGTTACTTAGGGTTTGGAATTATGATGTTCTTTCTTTAGCATAAAGAATCACAAGGCAATCAAGTAAAAGGTGAAGAGTGATGGGTTAGTTCTTAACCTATTGTCTCCTCCCCAACCGAGACATTTCAATTTGAGGCTAGGTTCGAATATGAACTTCTGAAATGTGACAAGCATCTCTTCTTAGCTTTAGCTACTTCAGTAATTCAAAACTTGCTATTTAATTTTCGCTATTAGGGTTGCTCGTGAGGGGAAGGCACTAAGGAGAAAATGGGCAGAGCGGAAAACACCACGACCATCCAAAAAGGGAGAACAAGGCGTCCAAGATTCAGTCGAAACCGAAGAGGATGAGGAGTCTGTGGCTGCGAAAGGGATGCTTCCCAGTAACATTGTTCAACAGCTTGCTGCTCGGGAGAAGTATTGCTCTCTACTCCACCATTTCCCCAGTCTTTGCCTTCGTACAGCGTTGTAATTTCTTATTAGGGGGCATCAATTCTCTTTTTGCAGGAAAGTGTTTACCACAGAATCTGATGATGAAAGCCCTGGTGCAAATGCGAAGCTTCCTCCAAGGAAGAAGAAGGCGAGAGGCTCAGGGTAAGACATATGGAAGAGAGAATTCTTGTTTTTCTTTTTTTAAGATTGTGTTCCAGGATACAGGGTAAGTTGAATGGGTTTGAACTGTTGTTATTTGCAGGCCGCAGACTGTTATTCTGAATGAGATATCCCCACCACCATGTTTACAGAACTCGTTAGAGTTTCTAAAGAAGAACAAGATGCGGCTTTCAAGATCATCAGCTGTTCTTAACAACTCCAACCAAGCTCTTCGCTTTATCTCCTCATCTGGCTTGTTAAGTAAGAAGTGAGAACAAATTGCGGCTTCAGCTTCTTCTCCATCGGTGCCATTTCCCACCCTGCTTAGAGTGAGTTGAAGGGCAATCCATTCAACTATCTGGTTTCTGGGAAGTGTTGTATCAACCAAGCTAGTGTATCATCTTGGAGGCCCTTTGCTCCCAGCCATGTTGACCAGGTTACTGCTTGTTTCGCTAAGACAATCAATCTAGTATGCGTAGTCCACGAATTAGTGAAGAAGTTTTAGGGTCCTGTTGGCTATTTTCAGGTATACTAACAGGAAATTTTGTCACTTGCTACTGGTGGTGCATCAGTTAGAAAAGCTTTGCTGTTGGAATGTATGCGAATGTGAAGTTCAAATTGTAATGAAAGGGAAATTGAACGCATTTCTGTTTCGAGAAAACTCCATTACTAGATTAGATAGTGGAGACAACCATTGATGAAGCTACAAGCCATTTAAGCATTGACGAGATTAAGTATAGCCCTTGTTCGTTCCCACATGATCCCATTTCAGCAGTCATTCGACAGAAATCAACAAGATCAAATCGACTCTCAAGTCCTGTCACCACCTTCTAATCCTCTATATTTCTCTATCAACTTCAAGGAGAGGAGAAGGCATCTTCAGGGTCGGCCCACATCGTGCTGTGTCGAGCCCCTGATCGCAGGGATAGGAGGGCGCTCCTTACATGGTTCAAGCTCCTATGGTCCCTGATGCGTCTCAGGACGACGTCCCTGTCCAGCGCTCTGGAGGCAGCATGATGGTTGTGATCATTACGGGCGGCTTGAGCCTTTGAAGATGGCTTCAAGAGGAGCTGACTGCTAACCGGCGGCGGTCGACTTGTTGTATCCTTGCCCTCACCGTCGTCTTCAGATAAGCAGAGGGAGCTTGGACTGGTTTCATGCGCAGCTTGTTTGGAGAAGAGCATATTGATATCCATAGCTGGAGATGAGATTAGTAAGAAGTAGAGTGTGGAAGGTGAGAAAGAAGAGAGGTTAGTTTATATAGAGGGCGTGAGAGAGTGGAGAGGAAGTGACGGTTGAGGTATTAGCGTTTCCCCGCGGGAGAGAGCACATGGTTTGTGAGCATGGCGACGTTGGGTTTCTTCTGTTTCTATATCGGAACGTAGTTTGCTGGTTAAGGTAGGTGCTGTGTCGCATTCTAGGGGGCTGTTTTTGGGATGCATATTGGTGTTATCTCCGTCTGAGTCACGATTTTTTGCGACTTTTGGTTGGTGATTTCAGCTCGTTTACTTTGCGCATTTGTCCACCTGATCAGCCATCAGTAAAAGCCCATAGGCATCGGTTGGATAAAAGCAATAGTGAATAGTAAACATGGAAGTGTGTTTGAATATACTTGACTAAAAACATCCCATGAAAAATCCAAACTATTAAAAGTGTGACTTCTATGAAAAGGAGCTTGAATGAACATGAAGCAGCTCCTAGACTAGTTGCTGTCCTCAAGGAAGATGATGCAGAGTTAGCCTGGAAACGAAGAAATACAGATGCAGAGGAAGAAGGATGCGACGTCGTTCAAAGGCAAATGAGGAAAGAAGAGAAGCAACGCACCGTATTGAAGTGATTCGTTGGTTTCAAGTTTAACGGTGTAATTAGCCACGTGTATAGCATTCATTAGTTAGTTAGAAAGTTAGTTTAACGGCTAGTGAATAGTTAGATGTAAATGGCGGATTAAGCAAGTGTATATATACTGCTCTCAATGGAAAAGCTCACTATGAGCGATTTTCCCCAATTCATTTTTGTCCAAAATCCAAATCTTCTCATGGTATCAGAGCGCTTCTCATCGCGCTGAGATCCGTTTTTTCCCTCTGCTCGATTTCTTGTTTGTCTGATTTTCCTTTTCTCCTTGAGCTTGTCCTGCATCAACAATGGCAGAAGACGAAGCTTCACCTAACACAGAATCCAGATCTGAGACTTCTTCCAAATTCAAAGGTGTGATTTCTTCTTATGAAGATCCCTATCTGAATCCCTACTATCGTCCGCCTCAAGATGGAGCGCTACCCACCATCATCTCCATCAAGCTTGTCGATGGGAACTACCATACCTGGAGCGAGGTGATGATGATGGCGCTGGAAACGAAGAACAAAACCCAATTCATTGACGGTCGAATCCCCGTTCCTCAAGTAACTGATAGTCATTACCAGTCTTGGGCTCGATGCAATGACACTATTCGTTGCTGGATCTATAATTCCTTATCAGATGACATAGCAAATAGTGTTATGAGATTGGGTTTGGCAAAGGATGTATGGGATAATCTGAAGAATCGTTTCAGCCAAGAGGATAATATTAGGGTTTATGATCTCCATGGTCAATTTGCTAAATGTCTTAAGGGTGATGATACTGTTAGTCAGTATTTTACAAACATTACTATTCTGTGTAGGGCTGGAAGTTTGGTACCGGTATTTGGGATATACCGAATACCGCACCGAATTTGTCTATATTTGGTATTACCGAATACACGTATTATTTATTGGGATTGGGATAGAATTTCATTTGTTATTCGGTATTAGGGATTACGGGATTGGGATCGGGATATACCGAAATACCGATCAATACCGAAATATAAGCTAGTTTGTATTTTATCCTCTCAACTAGACTCTCGCATTTACTACTACATGACCCTCAACCACCAAAAGTGTCATTTAATTATACACAGATCATTCGATCACTATTAATAGTCTTTTCTCAACCTCCAATTCGTCAAATTAAAGATTATCAATGACAAGAACTTGAGATGTCTCCTCTCCTCCATTCTCCTTAATAATATCCTAATTCAAAACTCTTTGCTTAGTCTTTTCCCCCTAAATTAAACAATAAAATCTAATTTATATATTTAATTATTAATTACAAAGATAATTAATTTCGTATTCGATAATACCGATTGGGATACCGAAGTACCGTTTGGGATACCGAAATATTTAGGGATTGGGATACCGAAATAATTTAGGGATTGAGATTGGGATTGACTTTAGGGTGTAATTTGGTATTCGCGATTTCGGTATTTGGTATTGGGATACCGATACCGTACCGATTTCCACCCCTAGTTCTGTGGGAAAATACAAAAAGTACAGGACAATTCCCGTTTGCAAATGTGTTCATGGACCCTATGAGACCCTGAAGACGTACCATGATAATGATTTTGTTATCAAGTTCCTCCAAGGGCTGAATCCTTGTTATCAATAAACAAGAACTCAGGTTCTAATGTTCCCAGTTTTACCCCACATTGATATAGTATTCAAGCAGATCCTACAACTGGAAAGGCAGTTGATGGTTTTGAACAAATCTCCTGGGGTTGACACTCTTGCTTTGGCTGCCGCTAGCTCCAACAACAGTCAGTACAAGGGAAGAATGCAACATCAGCAACCTCAGCAAGATGGAAAGAAAATATGCAAGTATTGCAAAAAGGAAGGTCATCTGATCAAGGATTCCTATAGATTGAAGAACAAAAAGGCTAGAGAGATGAAGCTGGATTTGCTGGTTCAGTAGAATCTCTCCCTTATGAGAGTGTTGTTGCTCCTTCAGAAAGCAAATGAGCTTTGAGAGCATCTTCACACAAGATCAAATGGAGAAATTGAAGCTGCTGCTTCTCAAAGCACCTTCTCCCAGTCCATCACCTCCAACTTCACCTTCTTTCCATGCTGCCAATGCTGTTACTCGTTCAGTTCCATCATAAAGGCCACCTCCTCAATTGGCTTATTCCCTTTCAGCTCAGGTACTACAGCTCCCTCACCATTAATTGCATCATCAGGAGAACAACTATGGGTGCTTGATACTGGTGCTACAGATCACATTATCTATAGTGCTAAGTTTTATAGTAGATATAAGATACTTACTGGAGTTAAAGTCACACTTCCAACTGGTGAGCAGGTAGAGGCCACACACATAGGAGTTGTTAAGCTTCCTTGTGGCTTGTTCCTTTCACAAGTTCTTTTGGTCCCATTGTTCAGCTATAACCTTGTTTCGGTTAGTAAGTTGACCAAACAGAACCTTGTCTCACTTACCTTTCAATCCTCTGTCTGTGTTATTCAGGACCTTATTACACAAAAGAGAATTGGTTTAGCCCAAGTGGATAGAGGACATTACCTCTTCACCAAGACACCCTGTCCAACTTCATCTCCCCAGTGTCTTGCCACCACTTCTTACAATTTCCAGTCCCAACATTTTGATCTCTAGCATGCCAGATTAAGACACCCTCATGTCTCTAGATTACAAGCTATACAAAAACAGTTTCCTGATGTAATAGCTTCAAAGTGTATCCTCTGTGATGTCTGCCATCTAGCCAAACAGAAAAGGCTTCCCTTTCCTTCCAGCACATCAATCAATCCATTTGTTTTTGGCCTGATTCATGTTTATATTTGGGGGCCATTGAACACAGTTTCTTACAATGGTTTTAGCTACTTTTTGACTATAGTTGATGATCATTCTAGATGTGTGTGGACCTACCTTATGAAGTCTAAGGATGATGCTAGGTCTCTTCTTCAATCTTTCTGTTCTATGGTTAAGTCCCAATTCAATACCAATGTTAAAATCATAAGGACATATCAATGACAAGAATTCCACATGAATGATTACTATAGCCAAGAAGGGATCATGCATCATATGAGTGTTGTTTATAACTCTCAGCGAAATGGGAGGGTCGAAAGGAAACATCAACACCTTCTGAATGTTGCTAGAGCTCTTAAATACCAATTTGGTTTGCCTCTACTGTACTGGAGTGATTTCATCCTCCATGAAACTTACTTAATCAATAGGACACCTACTCCTATTCTGGACAATAAGACACCCTTTGAGGTTCTTTATCAGTTACCCCCGATTATGCAAGCTTGAATGTTGTTGGCTGTTTGGCATATGCAGTCACAGCAGGACCAGCCAAAACTAAGTTTGCTCCAAGAGAAAAACAATGTGTTTTTCTTGGCATCCCAGCAAGAATTAAGGGTTTCAAACTTCTACATCCTGATACCGACCAAGTTTTTTCCTCTCGTGATGTGGTTTTCTATGAACACATCATTCCCTTCAAACAACATCTTTCCATGTCTACACCAGACATCCCCATTTCCCAACCCTCAGTTCCAAATCTCTTCTCTCCTTCTTATGAACAACACCCTAGTTCTCCTTCTATTCCTATGACTTCAATCCCTCATCAGTCCGAGGAGGCCACTTCTACCCCCTTTACTTCACATCCTGATGAGTCTCCTAAAGTCAATTCCCCTCCTCCAACTGGGTCAGATTCATCCATTCCTTTCTTACTTTCTTCATCACCTTCTTCCAAAACACACTCCCCTTCTCCTTCTTACACTCCATCTTCCTCCACATATACTTACTCACCTTGTCCTTCTCATAAAGATCCACCTATCCCATTAAGGAAGTCAGACAGGGCATCAAAGCCTCCCTCATGGCATTCGGACTATAAAGTAGTGGAGTACCCCACGAGCAAAAGTGTCTCTTATGCACATTTGCAACCTAAGCTTCAGAAGTTTATTAACTCTTTGATCACTAATATGGAACCTAGTACTTACACTGAAGCTTCACAACATCCAGAATGGAATGAAGCCATAAGAGAAGAGTTGCAAACACTGTTTGATAATGGAACTTGGGAAATCGCAGATTTACCAGTTGACAAGAATACTATACAGTGCAAATGGGTATTCAGATTAAAGTTGAAATCAGATGGAACTGTTGATAGATACAAAGCAAGACTGGTTGGAAAGGGGTACACACAAGTTTATTGTAACACCCTGGCTCGGCCGAGCACTACTTTTACTAAAATGCCCTTGAAAAATTAAATATTCAAATCTTAAATTGCAGCTGAAAAAATTTTCATAAATAAAATACTGAAAACATACTCTCGTAGTTCAAAGCAACGCCCTAACACATGGGCAAACCTAATACTTAAAATCTCAAAATGATCTCCAATCTATACTCATAATCATAAATCTAAATAACTAATAATCTCTAATGTTGTTGCTATTGAAAACCTTGACTAAGCATCCTCCGTGACGCTTATACTGTCCTCCTCTAGCTGGCTGCCCTCGAACTCGCTGCTCACTAACTACTCCTCTAGCTCTTCAAACTGGTGAGTGAGATGGGGTCAGTCTACGCCCTTACGTTTAACATCTTATTAATACTTCATCACTTTACTTAACTTAGTGGAAGTTGTTTTGTACTTCCACTATTAAAAATCTTAACTCTTAAAACTGTATTCTTAAAGCTCAAATCTCCACTTAAATTCTCGATTGACACGGGGATCCCTCACTAGCTAGTCCGGTTGCCCAACTCATACGTATGAGAAGCCCTCCAGGCTTTCCTTAAACTTAAACTTATCGTGGAAGGCTCTTCTTCCACAATTCTCAAGAGCATAACTGATGCTCATCTTAAAAATCTCAAGAGCATAACTGCTGCTCAACGTAAATATCTCAAGAGCATAACTGCTACTCTGCCTCAAAGATCTCAAATGGCAACGAACTGGCGCTAGTGACTAAAACACTTAAAACGACTTCACCTTCTTGAAAGTGAGTTACTTCTTAAAAAGAACTTGTTCTTAAACTTTAACAATAACTTATACTCGTAAAAT